TAAGTACATAAAAGTGAAGTTCCTGTGGTACTACTCAACAGATGACAAACCAGTAAAAACAGTGAGAAGGAGAGGATCTTCACTTCGTGTCGGGACTGAGAAATCAACATTTTCAACACATTACAAAGGAGTTTGCTGATTACACCTGAAGTTTTTATCAGGTTCTAGGACAATTTAGACTGATGCAAAAACCTAAAATTGGTAGGAGGGACACACAACTCTGAGATCCAAACTACACTTTGCGATTAAATATTCAGCAATGCGTGAATTTTCCAAGTTCTCACAAGTAAGCTTGGATCTATGTTGGTTTTTAAAAGTTTCCCCATTATTATTAGGTGCCTGGCTCTCCCTGGAGGAACTTCAGGGAGATAACGATATATCCTTCTTGAAAACTGATTGGTGCTGTATTTCACCTGCATTATTGAGCTCTTCACACAGTGTATACTAGCTAATGAATAGACTGCTAGACTGTCATTCCCAGTGCAATGAACACACTAAAACAGACTAATGAGTTATAGATATATTTTAGTGGTTTTCTTATCGACAGCCTGTGTTTGTCCACTGGCAACAAGGTAGTTTTACGCTATTTCATTTGTACATAACATTTGTACATATTTTTTCCAGTCTGTTGCCATTGCCCAGCAGCACAAGGGCACTGGTCACAGTGGGAACTGAGCTGGCTGAGCACTGTGGCAAGGCTGGCAGCCTCGTACACATGGCAGCTAGTTCTTTTCCTCCTGTGATGGCTGTAGCACTTCACTTCAACCAGTCCATTGAGGCACAGATGTTTTGCCAAGGCATTGGACAGACATTTTCAGCTTGTCTTTTACACTGGATCCAACTATAATACATTTGTGTCTGCCTCCCAGCCTCTTGTGTTATTTTCATTTAGCATGAACCTGTGTTCTTGGCACAGAGAGCTGCCAAAACTAAAGTAATTTCTCAATAAAGCTCAGCAGCCCTGACAACATGTCTCTGGGCTTAAACCTGTTTCCTCTCCAATAACCTGAAATCAAGTGGTCCATGACCAATCATTCCTGTAATCCAGGGTGGATTTATCTCACTTTGTCTTAAACTGGTGGAAAAAGACAGATAGCTCTAGAGGGCAATTCATCCCATTTATTTTAGGCACTGGAGATGATAACTCTTTCTCCACTGAGTAGAGAGGAAACTTCAATGGCTAGCTTGGAGCAACTATATTCCTTTTGGCTGGTCAAAGGCTGGATGAGAGGCACCCCACCCTAGGCTATCTTTAGCAGCTCCAAATTTATGAGTGGACAGGGAGTTCTCAGCTCCAAAGCAAAGATCTATTCCTTACTTTGTTTTCTCTCACAAGTTTATTGCTTTGCAGACTTGAGTCACAACAATCATAAAACACTTTCATGAGCTTTCTCATATTTAAAACATAATTTCTGGCACTGTTATTTCACGTGTTTCTTGTCCTCCTCCATGCACACCTACCCTCCGCAGGTACTAAAATTAAAAAAACCATAACCTTCTTATCTCAACCTGCCAAAATCAGATCTGTGTGCTGTTCCAATTCTTATTTCCACTTGCTCCCACATTTATTTGAGGACTTTGCTTGGGAATTAGCAGACCTATTTATTTGGTGCTCTCCAAATGACATGTTTACTTTGGTTTTGGTGCTACTCTGGTCAAACATTAGTTATGCAGCCTATTTCAGTGGAGAGCTGATATCAAGATCACATATGCTGAGTAAAACAATAAAATAATTGTTAACTGAACTCAAGTTTCCTGAAAAGAACTACTTCCACAGGAGCAGCCACTGTCCTGGATGCTAACTCATGCCAAGACTGTGGGACACCAGTGACTTCCCCTCTGCAGATGTTCCTTTGAAGCTGTTGAAGATAGATGAGCTCTCTGGCAAATGCTGTAAACCCACACAGTCCCAGGAATGAGGTGGCCTTTTCGTCCTTACATCATTAATTTTTCTGAAGACAAACATTGTGGTGCAGAGTCCTGAATTCTTGATATGAAGTGGTGTTCCCTGATACTGTATTTCTTTCAGGTCTGATTATAAACTATTACAAGTCCTCAGTCTCAGTTTTCCTTGAGATTTAGGACATTTTCCCCTCAAAGTACATTGAGTCTAATGACCCTGAACTTCCCAGGATGGACCTACCCGAAGGGCAGCGACAGCTGGAGAGAAAGAGAGGAAAATCACCCAATACTACCTGCCCAGAGTGCACCTAACTGTTTGAGGGACTGCAGACCAAGGACAGCCATGAATGTGGTGGCAGGAAAGGAGCTTGGCCCATTGGGTTTGGACTCCCTGGGTGTGAAAAGGCAGAGCTGCAGGGTGAGAGCAGAAGCAGCTGAAGGATGCAGTTCATCCCAAAACCCCACAGAGCAGGGATCACTCTGTACCCAGGGAACCAGCTCCTCTGCAGCAGAGAGCTGGAAAAATCACACCTCTCTGGGAAAGAGCTGCCACCCCCAAAGAGCCATCTCACATCTTCCTTCCCACCCAATTCACACACCAGCACTTTGTTTTGGTTTTTATTTTTTTTCAATTTTTCACATAACACCTTCAAGAACAATACAGACAGTGCTACCCTGGTTTATAACAATACAAATCAATGTAACACATTTACATTATGTGGGTCACTTGTTCAAGTCCATCTGCAAAACATTTACACTGTGTAGTTCACTCAAACAAGTCGACCTATGATGAAAGCCTTCAGAACATTTCTATACCTGTGGTCAAAGAAGCAAATATCACTTCATAAAAGAAAAAACTTTGTTTCTTTACATTCATTTTGTATTTAAGACACCACTGAGTATGTAATATCAGTTCTCTGTGTGCCTAGTTTTTATCTCACATTCATATTTCTTTCTCCTTCCCTAGTTTGGAGGAGGTTTTGAGGTATTTAACTTTCTTATGGTACCAATACTCCATATACCAAAAGTTCCACTTCTTTTCCACTACTTAGTGAAATCCAACCCCACGCTACAGCCAGATATGTTATCGCACTACTCTTGGAGGATACAGATGGATGGGAAGAACAAATCACATTTTGAAAGGTTGCACTTACTGGCAAACCTATTTTGTTCTCTTGTTACAAACAAGCAATTGCTTGATAAAAATGAGCATTCATGATGTACCTAAAAAATTTTTCATGCTCCTTCCAGCAATGGCCAGTTCATCTATAGTTTTCTTCCTTCAGAGAACAGATATCCAAGTAGACTGTGACTGTTTTCCACACTTGCAGCCATCTTTTCCCCACTGCTCATAAAATATGCGTATTCTTTATTGTCTTTAACACCCTGCGGTCTTGTTTGGTGGTCATTGATGCAGACAGTGTTAGAAATCTAATCTCTGTGCCTGTATCTTCACAGCAAACATTTAGAATATTTAAAGGGAGACTTTGGCTTAGATCTCATAAAATATGAAGGTTCTTTCTAATAGATTGAAGCATTTCTTAATTCAAGCCACATCCTAGTCTTGAAAATCCTTCCAAATACTTATTGGGCTAAACTCAGAACTAGCTATAAGTGATGGTGGAAAGGAATTATATTATGGCCTCTCCCAGATGGATGTGAGTCGTTCATTTGTCTAGTTCATGGGACCACATGCAATTCTAACATTCTTACTTTATAATTTGTTTCTTTGGAGCCAACATTTTTCTTGATTTTTTTTTTCCTAAAGAGTTTGAAAAACCTCTGGGCTGATTTAGCTGAACAAAAAGCTTTATCTTTGGTGTCTGTGAGAACTGTCAGTTATGGGTCTGTAGCAATCTAGACCTAAAAGCTAGATCTCTTCCTCTCCCATCCTGATGAAGATAATACACATTATATATGTTGCAACCATTTCTCGGCTATAGTAAGTGTTATCTCTTGGAAGAGGAAGGAACCAGGTTGTTCTACTAATTCTGATCCTCACAACATGGTCACTGATTATTTATTGCTTCCTTCTGATTTACGTCAAGACTGGAATCCAGTTAAATTACCCTCATGAGCAGCATTTTACACCATGAGTAATCAATTGCATACTTGAATTTAAGGGACACAAGGTTCTTCAGCTGCACCAGTGTTAGACTGGTGCAGAGTCATTGTTTATGGGAATCCATGCCAGACCTTTATACTCATATCAGCGAGCAGAATCAGGCCAGTCATGAAAGAGGTAGAGGTACAGAAGGGCAAGACTGTTCATTATTACTGGTAATCAGTCCAATCACTTCCAGAAATAAAACTTTGTGTTAGTCAAATGACTCTCAAGCCACTAAATCATCCTTCCAAATTATTTTCTTGGCAAAAATAACAGTGTTACAGCTGCCTGTGAATCTCTAGCCATGAGATATTGGTAGATAAAACAGAACTGAATTCTCCAGTGTAAAATTATCTGTTATGCTGATGTAGTTATCTCTGGGGAGCGATATTTAGACAAACTGTTTAAGCAGAGAGTAATCCAAATAGCAAAAAAAAAATTTTAAATTTTCTGTGGAAAGGTTTATAGATATACCAGTTGTCAAGACAACTATATTTGGCTTTGAAAAAGGGAGAAAAGTGGCTGGTTTTAGACTGAAGTAAAATAAAATGAGCTTGAATGCATGAGAAAGGTGCATTTTCACTCTGGTGCAGAATAGTCCTTCTCTAGCAAGCTCTCTTGGCTTCTGTTTTTAGGCTTTAGGGGTTTGCTTTTCTTTTAATAAAATAGTAAGACTATTGGACTTACAAAAGGCGAAAGTACCTCCCTTTCCTTACCCTTCCCATATATAGGGCACATTCCTGATATTCTGTGTTTCAAAATGCTACAGATTGCACCTTAGCTGCAGAAGAACAGAAGTGCATCTAGGCAGCATAAAATTGCAAACTTATATGTATAACTCAATCAGATCGTAGAAGACTCAGAGAAGAGGAAAGCAGCCTATATATCAATCTGCTGGGAAAGCAGTTTGGTCTGAAGTGTCTCTCTGTCTCACGTGAAAGATAGCCAGGATGACTTTTTTCCTGTTGGTAGTTGAAGAATAAAGCAAATTTTAAACCTTTGCTATTGCATATCCTTTATCGTCTCTCCGCTTCCAGCACTTGCGTATGCATATTACTCCCAGGATCACGCAGGCCAGTGTGAAGGGAATCATTGCAACGTACCAGGATAAGCCAACAGCTGGAAAAGTAAAGAGATGGAATATTTTTTAAAAAGACTCCAAGGAACATAGTTCTCTAAGCAAAAGGAAGAAGAAGATAAATCACCATAAGAAGGATGTCTGCAAGTTAACCTTCCAGTAGGGTTGATAATCTGTGAAAGGAAGAGGACTATTGACCGAGTGTGCTTGGAAATGTGTTTATGAGGATGGAAGGAAGAACTGGAAAACAATAGATGGTGAGAATTTAAATTTCAGTCTTTTTGCACACACATTACTTCTCCCAATGCCTGCTTAGAGCAGCTATGTGCCTTCTATCTTAATTTGGTGAAAGCAGGAAATAAAAGTACCATGCGGAGAGGCAGTACATAACAGCTAGTCCACCCTCAAGCTCTGTGAATAATTTTCTCATACAGAGTGGCCTATAAACTACTAATGATCAAACCAAGACTTTGAGCCTTTTCCCAAAATACAGTTAATTTCCATGACTTGTTGAAATGAGTCCAGAGCAGGGCCACAGAGATGATCAGAGGGCTGGAGCACCTTTGCAAGGCCAGGCTGAGAGAGTTGGGGATGTTCAGCCTGAAGAAGAGAAGGCTCTGGGAAGACCTTATAGTGGCCTTCCAGTACTTTTAGGGGGGCCTACAGGAAACATAGGGAAGGACTCTTTATCAGGGAGTATAGTGATACGATGAGGCATAACAGTTTTAAACTGGAAGAGGGTAGATTTAGACCAGATATTAGGAAGAAATTCTTCACTGTGAGGGTGGTGAGGCACTGGCATAGGTTGCCCAGGGAAGCTGTGAATGCCCCATCCCTGGAAGTGTCCAAGGCCAGGTTGGACAGGGCTTTGAGCAACCTGGTCTGGTGGTAGGTGTCCCTGGCCATTGCAGGGGGGTTGAACTGGATGATCTTTAAGGTCCCTTCCAACCCAAACCATGCTGTGATTTTATGATTCATTCTATGATTCTGTAACTCACAATGAAGACTGTAAATGCTGATGTGCCTTTCTAAGATAATGTGAGCAAGCTTTGGTGATTCATCAGTGTCATGCAAAGAAACAATTAGCATTACTTCACATTGTTTTTACAGCTGGTTCTTGGCCAATGGTCTATCACACTGGAACTTTAATTGCACTGAGCATACAGCTTCTCTTCCCATCACTAGGAGCCAAAATAACAACACCCATCATAATTTACACTTCTTGTTACTTTGGCAGCAGTCTGTGCATGAGGCAGGGAACACTCTGATCTTTATCGTGCTATTGTCTTTTTTTTTTCTCTCTGCTTGTTGAGGAACTGAAGATCTCTCCCTGCTGCACCCAGTGGGAGTTTGTCAGTAGTCTCACTGGAACCATCATTTCACAAAGTGTATCTAAATTGGAGCCCTATCCAGTGAACAGATATACCAGCACAGATCCTTATCCCTGCAGAAAGTGTTAGTGAGTGACTCACAGAAAGTGTATTTTGTGAACTATTCCAAAGTCTACAGATGAAAGAGGCAACCAGTTTTTTTCCCAGGCAAGTATTCATGCCAATAGCTCTGACAATACAAAAGGCTTGGATGATAACTTAGAAGTAAAACAATGTTAACAATTATAGCATGTTTTTTGCCCAAATAAGCAGTCAAACTAGTCACCTTCCTGCTTGACCCTTGTTGGCAGCACTTGGTAGCCGTATCTGTTCTGGGCCAGACATGTAAAGTCTGTGTAAAAGTCCACTTCTTTGACAGAATCAAAAATCAGTGGCACTTCAATGAAGTTTTCACCATTTTCTACAATTTCTCTGGAAGAAAAAGAAAAATTTAATGTTAAATCCTTTTATAATGTGGCTTTTTTTCTATTTTATGTGTTTGTTCTAACAGCACATTGCAAGGAAATGCACTGGGTATTTGCTCATTTCTGACCTAGCCCCTTGGCACTAGAGGATACCTGTGCCTTCAAGCCCAGCTGTGCCAACTATTTGAGTCTTGGCAGTCAGTACCTGGCTTCACTTGTTGAATCTTCCAGGAAAAAAAAAAAGGTCTGGATTTGTCTTGCAAAAATAAAGAAAAGGGAGGGAAGAAAGGTCAGCAGAATTCTGTATATCTTTGAGCTCTATGCAGCACTCTGGAAGGACCTAATTCCTTCTCTCTGACTACCTATTAATTTCTGAGATTAATTCTTACTGTCAGCTGTAAGAAAACATAAACCTGAAAATGCTCACTCAGCAAACTGAACCACCATTCCCGTCTGTCACGCGCCCAAAGCCAAGAGCTCAATACAAGAAACTGTCTAGGAACCTTCCAGCTTATTTCAACCTGATTGTTTCATCAGTCCAAGTATTTAAAAGCGGTTTTCTAGCTGCAGTCAAATATTGTCCCTTGATATCTTTTAGTCATTACTGGAGAAGTTGTCCAGCTGCTCTTTAATGATCTGTTCATGAGTCTGCTATGCACTGTGGCAGCAGAGCTCCCTGGGACTGTACCGCAGGAAGGCAGAAACATGGCAGTAGGTGTTTTGCCAGAGATTTCTGTGGGGAATTTGTTTTCCCAGAGGCATTTGACCTGTTTTGTCTTGCTGCCATTCTGAGTGCTTCCAGCAGAACTGGGGTGTCTCACACACCGTGGGCTCCACGTGACCCCTAGTTGGTGTGGTCCCTGTCCTCATGCAATTATACATTAACATAGAACAGTAATAATGATAGTAACAATAAAAATAATTATAAAAGTTCAACTAAGAAAGTACATATGCTGCTCTAATCTAAAACCTGCAAAGACTATAGCCATTTTATGATTCCTGACCAAAGGTTTCATGCACTGTCACTTATCCATTAGATGAATGGTCTCAATCAGGATGTGGGGAACATGAAAACACATCAGGGCTTGGGCATGCAGCCAAGTTACCGTGTTACTTCTGACTGCAGCTGTGCAAAACTAAACGTGGCCAGGTTGTTATCTGGCACTGATGGCCACAAATGGCCAAAACCTCCTCACATACATAAATGTTAAAAACTCTGGTTCCTCAAAACAGGGATGCCACATCCCCACACTCTGTTGGGAATGATCCCTGCACCATGCTAAATCCTAATCAATAGTCAGATGCTCTTTGGGAAAGTGCTAGCTGGTGAGTGGCCAGTTTAACCACTAACAGCAGAAGCAATGGCATCCCAGGGCCCAGGAGTCTTCCCAGCTCTGTCTACCAGTACAGGCAGAGCCACTGAGATCCAAGTGATGGTGATGATCTTTGAGGACACTCTCAGCTTCATCAAATGAGAGATAAAACACACTGACCTGGACCTCAATGAAGAGATTTCAGTCGGTATGTTTACCTCCCACTTACTAAGTACTAGAACCAGGTGTGAACACTGCAAATTAACGCTGCTCACATGTGACAGGTACAGATAGCAGATCTTTTCCCTCCTTCCCTAGCAGGAAAAAGGCAGCTGGAAAAGCCTTAAGGCATGCAGCTATGAAGCAGCTGAGAGAAGTCTCCATGAGACTGGGGGACACAATGGATCAGGGCAAGAGGATGTGGGACGTCCTGCTTCTTCCTCCCACCAGCATCCCCCACAGTGCTTCCCTGGCACCAGCTCTAGCCCTCACTGGGCGTCATTGTGACTCAGTTTAACTCACTGGTGTGGAAAACAACAAGCCTAAGGGGAAAAACAATGCTTTTTTAAAAAGGAAGGAAAAAAAAACCCAAACCCACACTGGATAGTTTTCTGTTGTCTTAGTGTGTTCAGAGAACCTCACGAGTGCCAGGGAGAGGATGGTGCTGTTTTGCTGTCATGGGGCAAGGCTAGAGATAAGAGAAGCAGTGGGAAGTATCAAGTCCCATTGCTTTCTACTGCAGTCAGCTTTTACACTAGCTCAACTTCAAGTTTAAGCCTCGAAGTTGGCTCATTTGCAGTATACCACAAATTAAAAACAGAGATAAAGAACTGATTTCACCTTGCCTGGGTTGGGCTTGGGGGTTTTTTTGCTTGCCTGCCTGGTTTTTTCTCAGTTCTCATCTTCACTTCAGATCTGTCCATATCCCACTTCATCACCTGACATTCAGCTGCAATGAGAGCCCATGTAATACTGCAGGTTAAAACAGCAAGCACCAGGAAACACTTTCAGCCAGACTTACTGTCGTTCTCCCTCTGTAACTCTTCTTTGCTTGTAAACCATGTCGACGGTGGTGTCATTTGCCAGCCATTCCACATCGGTATGGACGTGGCTGCTCAGGCCGACGAACACTTTGCATGGGAGAGTCATCTTGGAGCCTATTTGTGAAAGAAAGATTAAAAACCCATTTGGATACATATGGAGAACTACTCTTTCGCTTGGTGAAAACCAATATCTCCGGTGGGAGGTCAAGTTCCCACACACGTCAAACACCACTACGTTCAAAACCGAAGTTAAGCCCCAGATTGCTTTTGATCTCCTGCTCTTTGGCAACAAGACCCTTCAGTCTGGCAGTCCTTCCTGCTACTAACCAAATTACTTTCCCGCTGCAACAGTTAGCAATGCTTGCACTAGGCACATTCCTCAGGAGTCAAGGCTGTGTTCCTGTGGTCTTGCTGCTTCTGACATATCGCAGCCCAAGATGCACGGTGTGATTTACTGCTCTGAAGCAATTGCATTAACCAGCAGCACAGCTTCACTCAAAGATGCTGTGGGCAAGGGCATTCAGCTCCAGAGATACAGTGATTGTGCAAAAAATCAGAAATTTTGCTATAATTATTGTAACTTAGAGCTAAGGATGAAAAGCCTTCAGTCTGGTGCTTATATATATTATGTGGAAAACACAGGGTTCAACAATGCATACAATTTTATTATTACATCTGTGCAGATGGGCATCAAAGAAACTCCACAAAAAACTCCACAGAGCTAGACAGGCAAAAAAAATTACTTCGTAGTCTTTTGCTGATGGAAAGAAAAGTGACAGGGAAAACTAAGACATCACAGGACTCAGCTATGTATATAGTGCCCAGCTTAAAAAAGCTTAGTGTAAAATACACTTGTCATTTTCTGGGAAGAGTAAATGCAACAGAAATTTGTTGTCACAATCTAATCTTCAAAGAAAAATTGTGATCCTATCAAGGTAATTTCTAACTAACAATAACTCTCTAGTTCAAACAGTAAAAAGCAATGAAAAATTACTCCTGCCAGAAGAGCTACATTCAAAGTCACCAGATAACCTAGACCAGTTTGAGGAAATACTGAAAAGGGAGATTTCTTAGCGAAGAGAAAATTGGACAGCTGATCTAATGGTGCAAACATGCTTTTCCTGCTTTGCTGCTGACTGAAATCTACAGCACTTCTGCAGCTTCTCCTACATGGAAGATAGCATCTAATGTAGACAAGTAACAAAAGCTACTCCAGCGCCTATCCTCAGCCAAAGTAATTGAGATCAAAAGAACTACAACAATTTATGCAAAGAAATTACACCATAAGAGGAACTGCTCTAATTTGTATCTGATGTTTCCAGAAACAATGTTGGACCTTACCGAGAGCAGCTGATGTTGTCTTTTGTGTTGGATACACAATTATTGGGGTAATTCGCTTTTCTTGTTCTGGAGAGAGAGAGAGAGAACAGAGTGTCAGTGCTAGCACAAGAGAAAACGTGGGCATTGTGCCAGAACTGCAGATAAACCCTGCCACTTTGCTCAACATTTTTCAATTCCTAGTGAAGTATTTGATTATCAAACCCACTAGCAAAGGGAAAAATCCCAATTTCAACCCCAGAGGCCTGTGTCTGTGGAGACAGACAGGCACAAGCTCTTGTCTGGATGCTGAAAGCTGCACTGTGAGGAGTTTACAGCAGGTGAGCAAGGGCCTGTTGGAAGCAGCAGTAACATTAGGTGCTTTTCATGAGCAGTGAGCGCTGTGCGATCCTCGCATACCTATCTCACACTGGCACAAAAACAGGAAAAAAAGCCACAGGCTCAGGCAGAGCTTCAAAATGTGGCTTCCAAAGCCACTTCCCACCAGTGGGGACCAATACGCAGCCGGATGAAGGAGCATCATCAGGCTGCCTCCTCCGAGGGCCAGCCCCTCCACACTTGCCCCCCACCGCTCCCTGGTGCAGGACTAGGGGGGCGGTGGAGAGCGGCGGGGCATCGAGCAGGGGGCGGGGCTTCGGGAGAGGGGCGGGGGCTTGGGAGAGGG